GCCAAGATGGTTGTATTCGCGGCAGACAACAGCTTAGCGAGCGGTCTGGCTATGTTCATGCAGGCCTTCCGCCTTGTGGAGAATGCCGGGCACGAAGCAGCCTACGATATCCTAAGATCCGCCGGTGGCCACCTGGTGAACCGGATCATCTCCAATACCGACGATATGCTCGAACCCGAGATGTATCAGTCGTTCCTACTGTCAACACCACGGTGGCTAGGGGAATGGAGTCCGGCAGTCGAGTCAATGCTCTGGCTACATCACCCTTCAACGCCCAGTACGGGCCCTGGACTTCATTTCGTCCAGAACCCTGCCGGCGCCATCAGATTCGTTGAAGCATCCCGGAGTCGACGGAATTTCCTTGTCCAGCTCTGCCTAGGGACCGCTCGGCAGCTGATGGAGCAGGAGAATTTTGCTGAAGCGCAGATCGTGATGCAGTTCACAAAAGATCACTTCGCTGATGTTGTTCTACCGAAAGAAGCTGTCATTGAGCAGCCAAAGGAAGAATCGAGGAAGGCACGCAGGGAACAGGAAAATCTGCGGTTGCTGGATCGTCTAGTCCTGACTTAATAATTTCTTCATTCCATCAATTGTAAATAGCCGCGACTGGTTCGCAGGTATTTTTGGGCGGGCAACCCGAAGATTCCATGATTACTTATGTTTGTGTATAGGCCTTATGGTAGCGCACCGGGGGTCGGGTCTGGGCGTGCGGGGGAACGCCTACAACCCGCGTCATATCACGCGAATACACGAACTCACGATCATAATGATCTGCAAACATGCGAAGACATGATGTAATAAATCTCACGATCGATTCATTTCCATGAGCTGATCTAAATAAGTCTCTTGTTGACTTTTGGTATCGCTAAAATCAAATATCGAAATATGCCGTATCATCGTGATCTCATCGCCCCGCTCTATGCCTTGAGCTCACCACCGTCGGTCTCCTCTGGCCAGACGTCGTAGCCAAAGGTATCCTTCATGTTGACGAAACGAGTGTGTCGTCCATTGGCGACCTCCTCGACGGCGTCAAAGTCGGCCTTGCTCAGCTCAGGGATAAGCCAGTTACTCTCGATGCGCTTAGGGGTGGAGCTCTTGGGCAGAACAACGTAGCCGCGCTGGAGACCCCAGGCAAGCAGAACTTGCGCGAGGTCGTGACCGCTTCGCTCGGCAACTTCGTTGAGCTTGGAGTTGGTGCGGACCTTCTCGCCCGTGCTGGGAACCTGGTTCTGGGAGCCGAGCGGCGAGTAGGCGGCGACGAGAATGTCGTTTTCCTGGCAGTACTTGACGAGCTCGGTGTTGGGGAGGAAGGGGTGGACTTCGATCTGGTTGATCATGGGCTTGACCTTGGCGATGCTGAGCAGCTTCTTCAGGCCGGGGATGGTCCAGTTGGAAACTCCGATGGCCTTGGCCTTGCCCGAGTTGTAAATCTCCTCCATGGCGCGCCATGTTGGCTCCGGGTTCTCGGTGAGGTCCTTCTTGATGATGTATTTGCCGTCGGCGCCCAGCTTGGGCATGTGGTTGTCGTCACTCTCCGCGGCAATGGGCCAGTGGACGAGGAACGCGTCGATGTAGTCGACGCCCAGGTTCTTCAGCGAAGACTCAAAACTCCACTTGACCTCCGCGGGCTCGTGCAGGTGGTTCCATACTTTTGTGACGATGAAAAGGTCCTCGCGCTTGACGTTGGTGTTTTCCTTGAGGAAATCGCGGACGGCCTCGCCAACTTCGCCCTCGTTCTGGTAGAACCATGCGCAGTCGAGATGGCGGTAGCCGGTCTTGAGCGCGGTCATTACGGCAGCGTAGGTCTCGCCCGATGCGCCCTCGCTGGCGAAGGTGCCGAATCCGACGGCTGGCATGATGACGCCATTGGAAAGCTTGAACGTCTTCTCATTTTGGAGGGGAGCCATATTTGCGGTGTTTGTAATTCTTGAAGTTTGAAAATGTATCTTGAAAATTTAGAGTCAAGATGAAAGTGGTCAAGTAAGTTTTGAAATGATTTATTCAGCGGCAACAGCGCGTGCTGGGACTGTGAAGCTACATATATCCAGCGTAACCTTGGTTGGTCTGAAATCTCTTCGCTCTTTCATCATCGCCCATCTGCTCGGACAGTCCCCAACCACGCTGCCGGCCGTGACCTCAGACCGAGAGATTCCGATCGCAGAAGCATCTCGCAGGCATCGGTCCCATTGCGAAAAAACTCCATAATAGTCCCATCCAACAGTTTCACGTAGACCCTCAGAGTAGGCCGTCAGCAGCAGCGATGACGTCGACGGTGGACTCAGGGTCCACAGCACGGGCCGAGCGCTGCCATTTTAATTGCTGGCGCGGAAGTTTTGCCGACCTGAGCTTCGTACAGGTGAAAATGTGGAACGATGTAGTCCCAATAGTCGTGCGGCTCTGCCGTTGTCAGCCACTCGTTTAAGCAGATCACTAGCTGCCTTCGCCCTAATTCGGCGAGCCGCGGTTACCTCGCCCCACCCATCCTTCGTCACTCCCACATGCTGCTGCAAGTACCGCCGCGACTGTCTGCACGCTGCCTGCACCATCTACACTCTGCTACACTCGCTTCTACGGATTCCCACATGTCGCATACTTGGTGTATGCACGCCAACCGCCTTTGACAGGCGGTGTACCGTGCCTTATCTTCCGGCCGCGCTCTGCCTCCGGTCAAATGAGGCTCTGCGCTAAGCTTTCACGGCTTCGGCCAAGGGTATACAACGCGCATTCCAGGTGTTGTAGCGACTCACAGCACTACGCTGCTATCGGTCCCCAGTTTTCGGCGATAATACGGCGGTGACGGTATCCAGTTCTCATTCTCTGGTTCAGCAAACTTCTCCACTAGTGCTGCTATGCACGGCCACTACAGCAGTGTAATGATGTCGCGCTGTGGGTACAGAGGTACTTGTTGAACGCTCACAGTGCCAGAACGTGGTTGGTGTCACCGGCCTGAATCGGGATAGCGAAAAGCTCCTGCGAAACTTTCCAGAAGAGATTGGCGAATGATGATGGCATCTGGGGTTCATGGACGTCGCTGCCTGTCAGAGTGACGAGTGATGTGATATATAGCCCCTCCCCCAGAAGACCCTGAGACTGCTCTTTCATCATCACAACTCCACATCTTCAGCTTCACATTCAGCTTCTGAGAAGACTGACACTACTACTTTCTTCACTTGATACCCCATTCTTATCCCAACTTCAACCACCATCATCATGTCTCCCTCCGCTGTTGAGAACGAGGCTCAGACTACCTCCAACAAGGCTCCTGAGCTTCCCATCCCAGCTGACCCTCAACAAGATGGCACCGACAACACTGTCGAGGTCCCAGCAACCCGAAGTGCCATGGCCGACACCACTGGCTACATGCACAACCTCTCCCTCTCGCCTTCCATGAAGGAGAGGAGAGGATCCCGCAACTCCTTCGGTACCTCACTGCCCATCCCCCGTTCCAAGAGGCAGTCGAGGCTCTCGTCCGTTCACTACCCCGATGGCCGTGGTGCCGCTGTCCGCCCTGGCATGCCCCCGATCCAGGCATCTCGCGACATCATCGCTGCCCAGCTTCAAGATCTCGCCGGCGAGAAGGTCCGCGCCGCCAAGGACATGGCTTTCGTCTTCGACATTGACGGTGTCCTCGTCCACGGTGACCGTCTGATCCCCGAGGGACAGCGCGTCCTCGAGATCCTGAACGGAGACAACGAACTCGGCATCAAGATCCCCCACATCTTCCTTACCAACGGTTCCGGTAAGCCCGAGCAGGCTCGTGTCGACCAGCTCTCCAAGATCCTCCACAACCCCATCTCGACCGAGCAGTTCATCCAGTCGCACACTCCCATGCGTGCTTTGGCCGAATACTACAAGACCGTCCTCGTTGTCGGTGGTGAGGGCTACAAGTGCCGTGAGGTTGCCGAGCAATACGGCTTCCAAGACATTGTCGTCCCCAACGACATCATCGCCTGGGACCCTACCATCGCCCCCTACCGTGTCTTCACCGACGAGGAGCGCAAGACTTCCCGTCCCCGCGACTTCAGCAAGGTCAACATTGAGGCCATCATGGTCTTCTCCGACAGCCGTGACTACGCCACCGACATCCAGATCATCATGGATCTCCTCCAGTCCGAGAACGGCAAGTTCGGAACCCGCGCCAAGGACCCCGTTTCCCAGCGCGTCCCCATCTACTTCTCCCAGGGCGACATGCTGTGCCCCACCGAGCACCCCTTCCCCCGCATGTCCCAGGGTGCCTTCCGCATTGGTCTCGAGGCCATGTACAAGTCGCTCACCGGCGTCGAACTCGAGCGTGTCGTCTACGGCAAGCCCGAACTGGCTACCTACAAGTACGCCGACGAGGTCATCGCCTCCTGGATGGAGACCATCCACAACGACGAGAAGCTGCCCGCCAACATCTACATGATTGGTGACAACCCTGCTTCCGACATTGTCGGTGGTAACATGTACGGCTGGAACACCTGCCTTGTCCGCACTGGTGTCTTCCAGGGCGGCGACAATGACGAGCAGAACCCTGCTTCCTTCGGTGTCTTCAAGAACGTCTTCGAGGCTGTCACCACCGCTATGAAGAAGGAGCTCGGTGAGGACTTCAAGTTCAAGTTTGACGATAAGATGAACCCTATTAACCTTGAGGGTGGCCAGTCTGCCATTGCTTAAGTGGTTTGATGGGACAAGAGTTGTTGTACATAAGCATTTTACTGGCGTTTTCCTCTTTTTTTTTTCGGGATTATATCCTTGCATAGCGAAGCTTGCAAATCGCCTTTATAGATCAAACGAGTTTACTATACAACTGGGTCTACGGATTCTGGGTTTTCGGTTTTTATATAGATTACGATGAATTCTAAAAGTCTTCTACCTCCTACACGATGCTTTCTATCATTTGCTCAGAATGTGAGGACTTTGCTTATTTACGGCATGAGATTTTGTCTACTACCTCTTGGTCGCTTGTTCTCAGCACTGAACTCATCGCTCTGCAACATCTGTCATACTCGAAGATAACACTACTCATCATCATCTTCATCCCCAAACCCCACCAACGCCCTCCTCAGCCTAACCTCTCTCCCCACCCCATCAACCTCCCACGTAGCCTTACATTCATACCGCCCCTCAAGCCTAACCCAAATATCCCTCAGTAGATACCTCGCAAGCGTCCTACTCTGATACAACACGTACTTCTCATTCGTAGGACTGATCTCGTCTTCTTCTTCTACCTTTTTTTTCTGAGGACCAGGACTGGCTAAGACAATCTTGCGGGCTGACGTAATGGGCTGAGCAGGGTCGGATGATAGTTGTAAGCATGGGTCTTCGGTGCCAATAGGTATAAAAGTATCCCAAGCCGGTACGCCATCGACGATCGGAGTCGAGCCTGCTACGGGTGAAGCATAAGTGTCGTACCATAGGCCTGTTGCGCCGATCATGGCTTTGACGTAGAGGGTCCAGGAGAGGGTGAAGCCTAGGTTGCGGTAGGAGCCTGCCTGTTGTAGTTGTTAATCTTGTCTCTATTCTCGTGATAGTTGGTCGTTGTTATCACACTGTTTCAATGTGGATGTGTGCAGGTAGGACTTACGATGACGGCATTTCCCTTCCTCCTAATCACGAAGATACTCCCTGCTTTGTTCCTCTCTACTTCCCTTCTGTACACGAACTCCTCCACCCGCGGGTCTAGGAACGCTTCTACGCACTCCTTGTTTGTGTGACTGAGGATCGTGGCGATGGCGTCGCTGAGACGCGGGTACGCGGCTCCGACCAGCGGGTCTTGGGTTGTGAAATACGCTTCTAGATCGATGACGTGGGGAGCGCGGACGGAATCTCTGCTCTGGTCGTAGTGGAAGTAGTGAGAGCCGGGCAGGAAGACAGAGGTCATGACTTTGTCGCAGATGTCGCCGGCAGGATTGGAGTAGTATGTGTTTTGCAGTTCTTCCAGTCTGTCTCGCAGGGCTTCTTCTTCGCGGAGAAGCGCGTCGGAAGCGCGTTTTGTGGGAGAGGAGGGAAGGAAAGAAGTCAGTGTGGCGCTGAAGCGGGAGAGAGTGCTGGTGTTGGTCGGCTTTTGCGGACTGTTTTGGCTGGGGTCTTTGAAGGTCGCTTTGAAAGTGGAGGAGATGTGGCTGGCGTCCAACTCGGCCCATTCATCGTCGTCGGGTTCCCAGAGGGGCTTTCCCTTGAATGGCGAGAGGTCACGTGGACTAGTTGGCATGGTGTTAGAGGTGTCGGGTTGATGTGCGGGGAGGTGTGGGCTAGAAGAGAAAGGCGAGTTGAGGGAGAGTGTCGAGCTACTTGGGGAGCTGTCGAAGTCTTCTTGAGCAAACAGTGGTGCGACTTCGGAGCCGTGATCTGTTTGCGCTCCTCCGACACCGACATCAGATGAGGGAGGCGGTGACTTTGCGGCTTGCTTTGGAACCTGGTCCGCCCAGCTGATTGTCCGAATGCGTCTCGAGGTAGGTCGTGGAGATGGCGTTTTCGGTGAACTCGGAGCGGTCTTGCTCATCTTGGAGGCCTTGTATTTTCGATGCTCAAAGTCATTGCGTTTTGCACTAATGCTGTTTTCACTACGAGCGCGTAAGAGCGCATTTCCCCCAGCGATTTTGGAAGGTGAGCCAGAGTGAAAGATCGATGTTAGCCCCGGAAGCATGTTCATAGAACTCCCCACCACACAATACGAGGAGCCTGACGATGACAGTTCGGTCGAGTCTACAGCTACTGACTGGTGGTCTTCAGCTCCGTCTTTTCTACGGTCTGCCGTGTTACGACGAAACAAGGAGCTGAAGAAGCCTCCACTTTGACTACTGCTCAGCGAGCGCGGTAGAGTTGTCCTTGAAGATGATCTCGAATACCCAAAGAGACCTGATCCGAAGATGGACTTTGGCGAGCTGGGAGGGGTTGCCGTCAATATTAATGATTGCGGACTTCCAGGCACCTTAACGCGTGGGTATTCCAAGTCTAGCGGTTTGGGTGGAATCGTGCAAGCCTGTGCTGTTACGGGTGGGAATGGTACAGGTGTGATGGTCTTCGTGTGCTGTAACGTGGATTGTACAGGAGCCTTCGGGCCTGACCTTGCGAGTAGATCACGTAGCCTTTCTGCTGCGTCGCTATCCTGCATGATGGCGATCGAAGAGTATGGAGATAGCCAGAGGCTGAGCAAGTTGATTGAGTTGAGGGCGGAGTGTTTGCTGTGCTCGTAGGGACAAGGGGAATGAGAAAGAGCAACAGTGAGAGTCAATGCTCAATTGGACCTCCGCCACAAGAGCGACGGCAGGACGTAGAGGATTCACACTCGCTTCACCCATGTCTCTTGTGACTTCAGTGAATGGCCTCACAGAAATGGCAGTCAAGGTAGTAGGGCATCACAGCAAGCTAGTACCGTTGCAGTGACGACAGTAAGCGAGACGAGAAGTGCCCTGACGTCTACTATAGAAATTACACAGCCGTGAGTAGAGTTGCTCAACCTAATAACATGTAAGTATGTGCTTGTAAAACTAACAGATGGTTCCCTCAACGTCGTTCCGTAGTATTGCGTATCATCTAAAGTGGACATCAAGTGAATCCTAACGAAAGCATGCCGAGTGGCTCGAGTGTCAGGAAGACCATAACCCGGTCGAACGCTCACAAAGCGTGCCTGTAATCGAGTCAGTCCCTTCCAGCAACTCAAACATTCCAGTCAAGTCCTGCAAGCAGCCGCCACATATATCACATCCATCCACGCGATGCGCGTTGGGAGTTGGTAGATTTTCGATTCATTCAGGGAGAGAACCCAGACTCTTGATATGTCGTCGTAATCGTAGGTCTCCACAGATCCATCGTCTCCATCCCCCTCCTTCGCAGCGCTGCAAGAGCAACTACCACGCCATCATATTGTCCATACTCGTGAAGTCCGTATAGATGCCCATAGCTTTCGCAAAGAACTCCGGTAACCGAATAGAAAATGCCGCTTTCCCTTTTTCCCCGAGAGTTTGCTTGCGCTTATCGCAGACGCCTAGCCTCACGCTCGGACTCGAGCAGGCAGAGAATGTCGTTCTCGCGGACTGTGATGTCTCCGTTAGTATGCGGGGGTTTCGTTCAGCAGGCAGGTAGAGCGTGCGTACCTGGGCCCTTGACGTTGCGGATGATGGAACGGGTCTGGTCGTTCATGAACTCGACGCGGCATTGGGTGACACCACCACGGGAGCCTGTTATTATCCGTCAGCCTGCCATTCTCTCACGTTGTGCATCCCCCAACTGTTGTATGCGCTCGTCTCGCAGAAAAGTTCGGGGTCTTCGGAAAGTTCGCGTACCGGTTCGGCCAAGGACACGGGTGACCTTGACGAGGTTGACGGGGGCCTTAGCAGAGTCCATTTTGTGCGGTTGTGAAGTTCGACGGGAGTCGGTCGTTCGGTGTGCGGAAGAGCTGGGTTGGGCGTTCGGAGATGGAGTTGTCGCTGGCGATGCGTGAGAGCTGGTGCCGAACGGTGGGCAATTTTGCAAAGTGCGCTAGCTAGGCGAGCAGGGGTGTGGCGCGCTAGTGCCCCGTCCATTCACTTGGGCGTGCGGGCAACACCACCATCAACACCCAGAGCGTCACGACTTAAGTAATTCATCCAAAATCTTGGACAACCGCGGGCGTTATGAAAGAGCTATGATTTGTGGCGCGACTTCCAAACATTCGATCGTCGCAACACCAAGTGCCCACGCAATCATCACACACATCTCACAATGCACCAAGGACAGCAGTACTCAACGACATTTTTCATTCCATCTATCTAGTAAAGAAGCGCCAAATCGCTCAGAGGGGTATAAAGCGCCTTCCAACGCCTTGGGAAGTACCCGACCCTCCGTAGCTCTTCCAGCCATGCCCACCCACGTCCGAACTAGTCATACCGAGGATCGGCTTCCATGTAAACAAGCTTGCAAAACCTCAAATCCCTGAATGAAGGTGTGGAAGGATCTGAAGCAAGCCATCTCACCAGCTGTCACCTAAATGGCCGCAAACCTTCTCCTCAGCGGCGGAGGCGTAAACTGCGAACCGGGCTTCCTCGTGGCCTTCACAACCTTCGTAACGGTATGCTTGACCGTGTCACAATCGACTTCGGTCTCGGTCGCAGTGGTAGTCGAAGTGAAGACGTTTGCAACCTTAGTAACAATGGAAGGCTCGGGGGCGACGGTGAAAGGCTGGGAGGTGACGATAGACGACTCATGAGCCGGACCATAGGTGAAAGGCTCAGGGGCCGCAGCACGGCGGCCAATCGGAGGAATCTGCCATATATCATGGCAGTAGCCGAAGGAAGGGAGACAGCCGGGGTTGCAGTGAGCGGCTGTGTCACCGCAGTAGCCGTAGGGGCTGCAGCAGGGTCCTTTCGGAGAGCCGTTGCAGGTGAAGCCAGTTGTGCCGCCGCCTGTCAGAATGTGTTTAGTGAGGTGTTCAGGATGGGGTAGGCGGGTGAAAGACTTACATTGACCATTTGGAGAGATGATCATGCCATTGGGAGCGATGACAGGAGGCTGGACAACTGGTGCAGGAATGGCCTGGTGGACGGAACCAGCAGCCTTTGGTTCCTTGCCAAAGAATGTCTGAACTCCTGAGCCATCGGTACCTGCGATCGATAATCAGTAACTGTCCGAGACGTTCAAGTAGGTCAGTAAACTTACAAGTCTCGACAAAGATATCAGCACCAGCCCAGCACATGAGGCTTGGCTCATTCGCGAACCCGCCTGGGCTAAGATAAGTGTTCACACACTTCTCTTCATTGCAGTACGCATATGGGCAGTCTTTCTTGTTGGGTACTGGGTTGATGTAGAGTTTCACACCACCTCGAATCAGTGCTGAAAATACCGTTAGTCTACATGTCCTCTGTCCATCAAGGGGAAATACATACGACAGTACTTCGGGTTCGCCGGCCCAGCATGCAAATCACAATCCACAGCACTAAGGTCATACCACATGTTTCCCTTGGATTCCTCAAGATTGTACTCGACCTGAATGATGCCTGCAGGCCCAGGGGTATAGTAATCCAGATCCCTGATCTTCAACGAGAGACCGCCGCCGAATCTCTCCGTGTCGACCATGGGGTGAATGACGGAGCCGCCGTTGCCGGGTACCATGCTGCGGAAGGAGTCGCCGCCATCGATGTGCGAGGCTGGGGGGCCGACGGCCCAGAAGTAGATGTTGTACGGGCAGTGGTTGATGAATTTGACGTATTTGGCTGACGTCCCGAGGAAGGTGACGCTCAGGAGCGTCGCGAGGATGAAGAGGGTGAACTTCATGGTTGGAATGTCTCGTGGATGAGATAGGGTGGGATGAAATGAGGGAGGAGTCCCTGAGAAGAGCAAATTGGGAGCAAATCCCAATAAGCTTGAGGATGAACGAAATGAGAACTTTACAGGAAAGAGGAAAGGGACATGTGTGGTTTTATGGAAGAGCGATTCACCCTTATTTTCCGTCATCTTCTTCGTTGGGCCCTTCTCAGAGTCTCTTGGTAATGAAGGGGCGTTGGGGGAGCATCCATTACAGCTTCACGAGATGCTGGAGGTGTGTTGATCGGGTTTCTCCGGAGGGGTAGGAACGAACACCACGTGCGATCACTATTGCTTGGGCATCGTATGGAGTCCCAGACACTTCCTGCTCGCAATCAAATAGACAGTTTTGAAGTTGACGACCTCATCTTTTCGCATGCTCTTCTGAGTCTAGAATACAATATCTTCAATTTTATTCTCCTCACGCAGGCATAGAGCATGTTGCTGTCTGGGTTGTGTATTGGAAGTCGCAGTCGCGGAACAGTCCCCGTTGTCGTTGGGACGATGTACTGGTAATGTGGGTTCAACAGGGCTCGCCGGTAATCCCTGGTACCAAACTACAAAGGTCGCTTCAGCGCAATGGGAAGAAACTCATACAAGGAGGAAAACTGAAGAGGTATACTGCAGTCTACGTTAGCATAGAATCAGGCAATTGTACAATCCTATTGTACAATCCTACAAGCAATGTAGACTTTAGGGACATTTTCTTCAAACCAACGCCATTTCAATTTTTTCGATGTCTTCCTATCTATTGGGTATCATGTGTTGCTGCCAAAGCAATTTGAGGTGGCATCTCATACAAGGAAGAAACTAGACAGGCCTGAAGCCTACATTAGGACAATAATGAGCAAAAGAAAAGACCTAACGTCAATGTAGGCCCTGCAATATTTTTTCCTTTGAATGAAATGAGGAAATCGTGCTTGCAAGTCT